GAACCCCTCTTGACTGCAATTAGACATATATGATCTGAGGTATTTTGGCCATTCATTAGTGCTAATTGTTTGAGAAACAAGCCTACAGAACAAATGATTAAAATGTTAGTACCATAACTGGGATTATTAGCATGTGTGATAAAATGCATGCTCTGCAGCTGTAACAATAAAACTCTTAGGAAAGTCTCTTTGATTTGACAAATACTTAGCTTGGCTCAGTTGCCAGCTTGTTAGTATTTGCATGAGGCCTGCTGATGTTTATAACAAACAACTTATATCTTCTTTTCTTAATTAGAAGGAATTACTATGCAAATTGCTGTGCTTTGTAATTTCATATCACTTTCCTTGGACTGGGCCTTTATTTGTGTTGTTTGTCAACTGATTCCTAAAAAATAAAGTAAAACTAAAAAGAGACCTTTCTCTATTTGTTTCTTCCTAGTTATTTTTATTCTTTTTTTCATTGACATAACAGGAGAGATTGCTTTCTGCCTGACTTCTAACACAGCTAACAGAGTAGAAATGCACTTGATTAAAAGATACAAGTTTGCTGCTTAGGCTGCCCTGACTGCATGTGGTCTTTGGGTCTTGTTTCACTTCTCTAAACTTGACCTTCATGAACATACAGGCCAAGATCATGTGTCTGTGGGTTCAGAAATGTGCAAAAGTATCATATGAAATTAATTGTTTTGTTTATTGCTTTATTCAGGCCCCTGGCTACATTTTTTCTGGAAAAATTGGCCCATATCTGTTGCAAAGGCTGGCAGAACAAGAGGTTTGGCATAACAACATAGCATGTCTGCCACGTGTTAGAAACAATGTGGTGATGCAGCCTTTCCAAAATGATTTGCCTTGACTAATAAACATTGAAAGGGCTGAAATATGGATTAAGGCCTTGATCATACACCAGTTTTTGTATGTTCAGTGTTATGTAATGAGAGTAGTTCTGTTGACTCTGAGACTATGTAAAATGCATAGAATTAAGTATATGGGAGTTTGAGCAAGATCAGGCCCTGAAAATGTAGTATACGCTAGGGAGATTTGGTGTCTTGTATTACTCTCACTAGTTTCAGTCACATCATACAGTTTATATTTGAAAGTGTCATATCTTCTAGTAGTCATTTTTTTCTTTATTCAGCAAGATTAAATATTTTGAGGGGAAATGACATTGAATACCTATGAGTATTTCTCACTTACCAGCCTTTGAAAAAAATATTGGGTGAACAGAAAGGTACAATGCTGGATTTGTTAATAAAATATAGATATAATTCCAAGACCTGTCCAGAAATCAATATACTGCAGAACAATGTGATATGAATGAGCATAGCATGTTGCAAAGCAAATTAGTAGGTTTTGCCTAATAGCCTCAGGGGTGACTGGTGTCTCCTGAGTCTGGGGGGGCACAATTTGTGGGCAAACCTGGGAGAGGGCCAAAAGCCCCATATCCACTCCTATACTTCTGTGCTGTGGCTTAGTGGCCCCCTACCCCACATGCCACCGGCCCACGTGGCAAAAAAAACTGCCCCATCCTGAGTGGTGCCGAGTTGGGGGCCAATCTCAGAGGAGGCATGTGCCCCCCCATGCTCCCTCCACCAGTCACCTGTGAATAGCCTCATCGTCATTTTTAGAAATTTAAAAGAAATAACATTAAATTGACAAATATTCTCTTGTTTTGTGTCCATTTGTTTAGTTTTAATCTCAGTCATACTTAGTTTTGCATCACTAGAAAAATATCTACACAATCCAGAAGATGCATGTGAAACAGTGTTCTTATTTATGCTATGAGGCTAATAAAAAAACAGATTTTTTTTTGGTTATGCAATTATGTATCCACATAACTAGGACATGATTTGCAAATAGTATACCAATGTATTGACATATGCAGTACTCTAGGCTTTGGTCTTGCCATTGTGTTTCTGAAAGAAATCTCCAGGAAGAGTCCCATTAATGAAGGAAGGTCCATTATCAGCATTTCATTTTTTTTAAGCAGCATAAAAATGAAAATATGCATGTGCAGAAAAGATGCCATAGGAAAATAGAAGAATTTTCTTGAGAAGTAAAAGTGGAAACCCATGTTCTATACTTTCACTTGTCATCCTTCTTGATGTATCTAGTGTAGTCATATTTATCATACCAATATTTGTTACAAATATTGTATTACATTTTTGGCTTACCTTTAATTTTATAGAGAAAATGAGAAAAATAATTTTATGCCTATTGGATGGTCTTTTTTTTTTTCTTTTTTAAAACAGAAAGCATGGTTATTTTGTTTTTAGCTTTACTTAACTACTTCCAAGACTAGACAAATGGACAGGACAATCTATAATAATGTGAGTTATGAGCAGGGATCCTGGTTTTCTCTGATAACGCCCCCTCCCCTCCAATTTTCAGATGTAAAAAAGTAACCTAAAATCCACATTTTTCCATTATTAAAATAAAACGCCACATATATATGTAAGTGGTGTTTCATTTTAATTACAGGAAAATGTGGATTTTGGGTTACTTTTTTAATCCTGAATTTGGGGATGGATTTTTTTTTTTAATCAGAGAAAACCAGGATCCCTGGTTATGAGAAATGTATACTGAATGAATAGAGTGCCAAAGTTGATGAGCTTAAGGGAAATTCCTAGTGTTCGCTGTTTAAAACTATTCTCAGTCTTCTCAGTTCAAGTGTTGGCATTCTGATGGATTAAATCCAGTGCCGCTTTAGAGTCAAATATTCTTTTGGTGGAGACATACTGCTAAACTGCCTACACGAATGCTTAAAGGCATTAGTGGTGGCAGTTGACTAGCGATTTCTTTATCTGGTCTAAAGGTCATGGCAGTTTTTTCCTATTAGATGTTGTGTTACTTTGTGCTGCACTCAGAGAATCAATGCTGAAAAAACTAACCACTATCTGTTGATAGACAAGGAAACTGACTGGTCAGTTACAGCTAGCAAGGAGTCTTACATAACGTGTTTGACGGGATACATCTCAACTTTGTGTGCTCTGGGATTATAGATTTAGTCTCATCTATCAAATTAGTATGGGTTAGACAGTTACTAATAGACGATCATCAAGGGTGCTTCAAGAGGTACTTGTCTCTGGCATTATAGTTAACTATTAAGGGACTGAGTTCTTTGACTTCTTTGTGCCTTTGGGAGGCGCTGGTGGGAGCCATCAGAGAAAGAGAATAGAAACTAATCACTTCGTCCCCTCGTATATGTTTAGTGAAGAACTGCAGACTTCTTTACTGACCTCAGTGTCACGCTGAAAAAGACCCTCCAATCTTTGTTGAAAATAAACCCATCTTCTTCCTCCTCCTCTTCCCCCAAAATGTAGTGCATGAGAAAGTGGGATTAAATGGAATTACCTAGCAGCTGTGCTAATTGTTACAAGTTGTATTTTCTTTCCCACTTTAGCACAACAATATTAGTAGTTGGGGGGGGGGGTGGAAAAGAGTTGACAAAGGAGTGCGACTCTCAGTTGCACGTCTCCTAGGTACCGAGCGTCAAGATCCCTACTGCATGTTTCTTGAAGCTGCTGCAGTCCTAGATGAAGAAGATTTTTTAATAAGGGTAGCACCGGCACTTGTAATAAATAATGCATAATTTTTATTTAACAGGAAAACTGCCCTGTTGATTAGGCCCCGTTAAGCTTTACCAGTCATATTACACACAAGAGAACAGCAGCAGCTTTTTCTGTGCTGCCAAGGTGAGTCCACCCAGGACAGTTACAGGACTGGCAAGGGACATCTTGGTATGGTTGTCATTTCCAAGAAGGTTCATAGAATTAAAATGACAGAAGAGATTTTTCTTATTTAAAAAAAAAATTGAATCTATTATTCATTTTGAAGACGCAACCTCTAGTAGAAGAAATCAATTCTTGACAGGGGCTGAGTTTTTCAGTGCAGGTCTCACATCTTTCTGCCATTTTTGTGATTTAAATTGACTGGATTCATTTTGGAGTGTTTGGGAAGGGTCATCATGTAGAATTTGAAGCAAACTTGTCAAAGTGTGGTAACTTGGAAGATACTCTATTAATGGAAAAATGAAAATGTATGTACCAATGACATTTAAATGTGTTGATTACATCTCCCACATTGAACTTAGAATGGTTTTGCATAATTCAGATATGCTATATGGTTCTATATCTGCATGAGATAACACATAATAGTGTGGTGTGGTAGAATGCTTTTATTTGGATGAGTGAGTTACGGACATCATTCCAAAGCGGTGTCATTAAAAATTTCATATCACACTGTGCCATCATGTGGTTTTAGTTTTTGTTTTATAGGCCGCAGTTTTTACAGTGGGATTTCTTATTTCTGTTCACTGAATGGATCAGCTCTCCCTGGAGAGTTGGACACCTCCCCCTCACTTATAATTGCGCTTTCCCTTTTCTCCACAGTTTCCCAATATCCCTGTGACAACTCCTGTAATTGCTCACATGGAGAAATAATACCCTATTTTATTCTGCCCCTCTCAGGTTCATACATCTTGCCTGCCCATCAGTGTGGTATGAGAGTCTTCCAGTTGTAAGCAATGAGTCTAGCATCTGTCAGTGCATTCTCTTATCCCCTTTCTACCTGTATTTGTTTGTTGTTTATGTGCAGTATGCTATGTAGGCAAGCAAAGTATTTTATCTGCTTTTTAATACAGGTTGACAGCAAGTAAAAAGGTAATAGCTGTTACATTTACTTTTTCAATTAGTCCCAGAGGTAAGCTGAGAGCTGATCATATGCAAAGGACTTATGACCAGAGCAAGCCTGGCACACACATTCCTTCCTCGTTATTTTAAATGAAAGAATGAATTGATTACCTACCTTTGTTGTAAATTATTTCATTTTATAATAAAGTCTTTAATTAACAAGAGGAAATGTAAGCCTAATCATTTTCCCTGCAAGCTCCAAGTCCCATTGATGCCTAAAAAAGGAAGCCACCTGCTTGCTTGGTCCAGTGAGTAAAATGAAGTACAACTGATGTGTTACATCTAATAAGGAAGACTCTATTCCAGGCACATATGATTCAGATAATACATTTAAAAACAAAATCTGCTTGAAACAGTGCTTAAACAAATACATGCTTGAGAAAGACAAAATGTTTGCTATGGCTAGTAAAGCCCTGCTCGCATAAGATTATTATCATATTTGAACTCAGGATTGGCTAGG